AATGCACTGTACTGTTTTTTTTTTGTTTGTTTTATATCAAATACATATTTTTCATAACAGGTTTTACTCTAAAATTGCTATAAAATTAAAGCCTTGTGTCTAAATAAGTTATGTTCCAAATTTGAAGTTGATATTAAAAAAAATTGAGGTTCCGGCGAAATTTTATTTAGGGCGTTATACCACAAACAGCCACCGGGTGACACCCAAACTCCATTGCATTTTTTTGATGCATTTTTCAGTCACAAATGTCTAAATTTCTCTGTCAACCTTATGTCTATCACAAAATAACCACCAAATATCGAATCGTGAGACTCAGACCTTTCCAACGATATGCATTTTGTCAAGATTATAAAAAGTTTTGATTCTAAAAGACCAAACATATATGACACTTGACACCACCCGCTAAGGGGAGGAGACCACCAAAAGATTTAAAGTACCATTTCCATGGTAACACAATATCCGATTTTAAAATACTTTTCACAGGATGAATTTGGAGGTTTTAAGCGTTCAAATGATATATATTTATGATGATTACTAAAATATGTGATGGGTTTAAAAAGACAACGAAAAAAAGAGTGCCAAGCAGTGACAGTTAAAGGGTTAAACTCCCGAAACAAACTTAATTTTGGCCTGATTTTGTTTGAAATGACATCACACCGTTCTTCAACATCCTCCCCGCTCAAACACTGGTGGCCAGCACATGGTGGGCCGCTGATGGCATGTGGCCAGTTATTTGACTACTTTCCTGGGCAACTAGTCAACTAAGTAGCTCTTGTCCTCTGTGGCAGATGCCCCTCACTCACCTCTCCCATCTCACGCATGGGTGAGGACGGAGTCGGATCCGGGCTTTGATTGCCCCATCCATCATGATTGCTGGTGCTGAAGCCCGTCAATGGTTAAATTGAATATACTAAGGCCTGTCGGTCGGTGTCTATATTTAATAAAGGCCGCTGATGAGGTGCTGATTTATCGGGCGGCAGTATTCACACTCCATTACAAGGAGATTACACAGCTTGAGCTGGATCGGCCCCGGCAACACAGTAAGGAGATTTCACCGTTTAATGACAACGAGAAAACAGCAAACCCAAGAGATGGGCGGATACAAGCGGAACCACTCTATGAGCGAGGGGAATTATCCGCCGTCATGAGGAGTGATGTGATGCCTGTTAAATTTAGGCTTGATGCTTGTGATTTAACTGCATAAGCGTTGTCAAACAGTTCATCATCAAAACCAGTCTAATGAAGGTGCCCATGGATTTATTTTAACTCAATAATGGACTGAAGAGAAAAAATATATATAAACACAGGGATTAGTGGTGGTCACATTAATGAAATTTCAGGGAAATGTCATGGGCAAAAAAGGTCCATCGTCTCTTGTCAATAGTGTAGTGATGTATGAAGCACAGCTCACATAGAAAACACTTTCAAACCAAGCAGATCTCTGTCGAATGTGGGGAATTTGCGTGACCAACTGAACCCACTGCGAAATCTGCGTGGGAAACTTTTTCAACCTCAAGGGAAATTCCCAGTTGATTCCTAATGACTGGATTTTGCCCAAACCTTCATTGTGGGCTGTGCATCCTAACTGGAATAACACCTCAAACATATATCTAAAATAACACATTTATCTATTTTTTTAAACACTTTTCGATATTGACTGAAATAAATGAATTCTGCATTTTGGACTGAAAAACATTATGCAGCCACAAGGTGTGGTCACATTTACTATTTTTCTGCAAATTTTCATGCTCGAAATCCAGTTATTTCCATAGAAATCCACACAATCAGGAATTTTTGCATGCATTTTGCAACAGGTTCAAGTTGGTCATGAGAATTCTCTGCACTAGCCAACAGAAAGCTGCTTGGTTTAAAAGTGACTTCTGTGTGAGCTGTGTTTCATACATTACTACACCAGTGACAACAATCAACCTTTTTATTCAAAATATTTCATAAAAAATATGCTAATGTGACCACACCCTTAGGATCTGGAATGGGAAAAGGGGGAAAAAATGCATGGTCTCAAGACCCATTGAACTTCTTTTAACTTGAGCGCCATTGTGAAAGACACGAGTGCAATGGTCAAACACGGCAGTCTAGTGTGTGTACATAGAAAAACAATGGAAAAGTAGCGCAATGTAATAGAAAATGTGTTCTGTGTGAATGGTTCCTAATGATACCTTTCTTTCACAAGAGCCTTAGCAAACGACTTCTGCGTGAGATGCACTTCATACATCGCTAAATTATTGACAAATGCGCAATATGACCACAACTTTAGGATTTGACCATAAGGGGGTATTGTACAATGCAACATAATGATGCCTTTCTTTCACAAGAGTATTTGCATCAGGAGTGCACCTGCAATGCCTTCAAATGCTGCCTATGTAGGAAGCTCACTGGGTTTTGGAACAGAGCCATTATGTGTCAAATCAGTACGCTCCTGTTAAATCAGAATAACATCTTTTTAAAGCAAGACAGCTATCATGCCATGTGACTTCCCACA